GGGAGTCACTCCAATTAATCAAAATGAAAATGGAATAATGTCTTGGCGATTCACGCAACTGGATTTCTGATGATTTTTATTTAGTGCACCCTTGCCTTGGAGAAAGCTAGCCTGATGCTCCATGTCCGAGTGAAGTGGGAACACTTCAGGAAGACTGGAGGAAATTTCCAAAACCTTACCCAGTGCCGTAAGTACCAGGGATGGGGTCACGGAACAAAAATTGCTACATGCCAGCTAAATGCATGAATTGTGGTGATTCCTCTCACGCAAAGGACGACTGTCCTGTGAAGGAAGATCCTAAGAAATTTAAATGTGCGAATTGTGGTGAAAACCACAAATCCAATTTTTGGGAATGTAAGACTTTTTTTTTGTAAAATCATTTATTAGTCTACAGTATTATGTTACATTTTCAGTTTATAAATTTTCTAGATGAAATTTAACAGCATTTGCATCAACAGTGTTATTAACTACATTAATAAACTTGACATAGTTTATAAATAGTTTCATGACCTTGCATCTTTTTTCTCTTGAAGTATTAATGTTTGTAAATAATAATTCAGAAAAAGTTAGTCTCTTCATTACTACGGTCTCTATAATCTGCGTCAATGCTTCCCAGGCATCTTTTACTCTCTGACATGTTGCAAAACGATGTTCTAAATCCTCGTCAGTTACATTGCATACCAAGCAAGTTGCTGAATCAGTCAGCTGCATTGTAAAAAGTAGTTTACGGTGAAGAACTTTGTTGTTCACTAGAACATAGTACAGTGCTTCTTTCGTCAGAAGTTAGGTTCCGAGATGCAATGTTACGCCAAACACGCTTCCAATTTATCTCTGGAAACGTTCGCATTATTTTGGAGGGTTCAACCTTCTCCAAGAAAAATGTAAGGATTTGTTTCGAAACCGGATTTTCTTTGATTTGTTCTGGGAGGTAAGCTAATTCCTGGCAAACTGTTCGTAAGCATGGGCAGTTTGTAGGAATATTTCCTAGGTATGGTGGATTTCCTGATCTAGATATCATTGATGCATAGTAGGGCATTGAAACAGACTCTTTTAAATGTCTGTTGATAAGCAGCGACTTACATTTAAAGCTCGGAAGCTGTAGCTTTAATCCTCCATTTTCAACATCTAGGGCCAATTGATTAATAGCAACCCTAATTGTTTGCCCTGACCATAAGAAGGTTCCCATTAAAGACGTTAACTTTGCAAAATGCGATTTGTTTATGTGTAAAACTGAAGCAGTGTACCAAATTTTTGAAGTCAAGAAGTTATTTAGTAGGACGACTTTTTGATGGAGGGAGAGAGATCGCATTTTGTGCATCCACAATTGCTGTGCAAATTTCGTTATCAATGAATCCCAGTTTACATTGATCATCAGCCTAACGCAGTTTGTGTATACAATACCGAGCACCTTCACTTTATCGGCTGTTGTTAACCATGGTACGATCAACTGGTTATTGTTTCGTATATACCCAACGTCTAAAGCAACTGTCTTTGTGAGGTTGACTACAGAGCCTGAGGATCTGCCGAACATTTCGAATATCTCTCGAGCCCTCTCAATTTTGCTTACGCTAGTAGTTATCACCGTAAAGTCATCTGCATATGCTACAACAACATCATCGATATCGTTAAGGGTTTGTTCAAGTTTCGTCATTAATGGTTGTAGGTATAACACAAATAAATGCATCGATAGTGGATCGCCCTGGCGAACCGATCTTTGTATTGGAAACTCTCGAGAGAGGTGACCGTTGATGAGCATCCGAGAATTGGAAAGAGAGCCTATTTTAGAAAGCAGTTCTATTAAGTTTCCGTTTATGCCAAGAGAGGACATCGTTTCGAATAAGAATCGGCGATCAACACGATCAAAAGCATGATCGAGATCGAATGACACTAATTTTCCACATTTCTTCTTCTCTCGTAACTGCACAATACGATCTTTCAAAGTGAGTGTAGCTTGAAAAATGTTCCGATCATGATTGGAATTCTTTTGTGAGTTACTAATTACTGAGTTTTCAGTTAAAACACGATCTAATCTGGTTTTTAGCACTCGAGAGAGTAGTTTAAAGTCTACGTTAAGGAGAGAAATCGGACGGTACGATTTCAAGGTGTTGTTTGAACCTTCCTTTTTTGCTAACACAATGACTCCATTAACAAATTCGGATGTAAATTCACCTCGTAAAGCCTCATTGAGAATGAGATTGAGATGGCCATGAATAATGTCAAATGCGCGTTCATAAAATTCCTTCGGAATCCCATCTGGTCCTGGGCATTTTCTGGAAGCACTACCTTTTATCGCGAAGTATATTTCTTCCGTTGTGATGTCCTCCATGCACCTGGTGTTAGCATCACTATTCTCGGAGATGATCCTGTCACAAATAAATTCTGTGTTTACACGTACTTCACCTTCGGTGTACAGCTCTCGGAAATAATCGTAGACATAATTTTCTATGTCTTCGGAGTTATCGATGCATTCTCTATCGGATGTGTTCAACCGACTGATAACATGATAACATGATAGATGAAAAGCAGATACGGGTTCTCCCGATACAAACGTTTCGTTCACCTGTACAAAAGTTTGTGTAAACTCTCTTTGGAGGTGTAGCATCTTACCTTTTAGTAGGTTTATTGTGGAAAGCATCGAATGATCTCCATAAAAGCTATTATAAGCTTCACGAAATTGAGTGTATAACAATTGATATCTATTATGGAAAACATCATATGTTTGCTTAGTTTTCCACCGGAAAAACGACTTGATCTTTGGTTTTGCAAATGATAACCACCAATGCATCCATGAATTGTAGTTTCTTCGTTGATGTGTCCAGTAGTCCCACTGGAGCTGAAATTCGTCCATATTACCCTGAGTCAAAACATGGGGTCTGATTGACCAGTAACCTCTGCCTATATATTATATTGTCAAGGCATGGTGGTTAGTAAACGAACAAACGTGAGTGTCGATGTGTCTTAGGTCTTTCAGCACCCCAGATGACACGTATAATCGATCAATGCGGGAAGCCGAATTGTGGGTGATGTACGAGTATTGAGTAGTACCCTTCCGTAAACAATTCCATACATCAAAGAGTTGTGCCTGTTGAACAGTGTTTTTTAGCGAGAGGCTGAAGTTGCTCTCACCTGTAGCATCCTTTGCATGTATTACAGAGTTAAAATCCCCACCAAGGATGACATGTTCGGCTGCATGACGGAGGTAATAAGAAATTGTCGAGTTAAAGAACTCTTCTCTGGAAGCTCTATTCTGAGTACCAGAGGGAGCATAAACATTGATGATAGAGACCGTATCATGTATTCTAAGAGAAATTAACCTAGAATCTAAGCTTCTTTCTATCTGTGAGAATCTAATATAGTTTTTCAACGCAATAGCGGTTCCTCTTCGAGAATGATCTACATTGAATATAATATTAAATCCTGGAATAGTCATTGTATCAGTTTCTACCTCCTGAAGAAGCAAAATATCTAATTCCGATGTCTTAGTAAAATGCTGTAGAGCGTTAAGTTTGTTTTGGTTGGTAATGTTATTAATGTTTATCGTTGCAATATTGTAACTTATTGAATCCATTTCTAAGCGTACTTTGTTGTTATGTAACTTACTGTTTAAGCTTCTTCGGGTGCCCTCGGCTGCGTTTCTCAACCACAGTGAATGCATTAGAATCATCACTGGTTCCACCGTCGTCTTGTTTATGTTTTTCCGCTTGTCCCTTTCCGTCGATATTGATGACCTTCAGCAACGCTTGCATAACACCACCAGAAGAGGTACTAGGAACAACGTTGTCTGTAGCCGAGTCAGTTACCTGTGCCACAGGTGTTGGATGAGATATGCTTGATGATTCCAAAGATTCATTCATTACGAACTCTCCCTTAGCAGCAGCCATCGATTGTTCGGGTTGAACAGGATCAATCGACTGGGCGTTTGATGTAAGGTTCACTGTAGTGTCTGAGGTTGCCTCGTTCAGCGTCGTCTTAGAACCTGTTGATGGACTAGCTTCTCCATCTTGTCCAGAAGGGTTCATGTTGCCTGACGTATTCGAAGCAAAGCCGGACGAACCCGACGTTCCGAACGAACCCGATGTGCCAGATGATCCTGGAGAACCCGCCGTCCTTGAAGATCCAGCGGTATGGGAATTTCCTGTTGAATTGCCACGCACAGCACCAGCGTAAGAGGATCCTCTTAGCCGCTCGTTCAACCCGATTTTCTGCGCCAACAGCTTCTTATTTTGGACGCATGAGATTCCAGTATGCATAAACTCTCCGCAGTGGCGGGATGTTTGTCTTTGTTTTGGGTACGTCACGTAAGTGGTATCCCCATCGATCGTGATATATGTATATATCTCTGAGAACCATTCTGACTTGACGAATGCCAGATGAGAAACCAGGAAAGTAGTGTGTTGGGGTATGGGTGACTCACCGGCGCTGGCTATACGGGAAGGGCTTCAACGGGACGGGTCAGCTTTCCTTTTTCAGTTCCTTTTTCAGGTGATGTAAAAGCGATTAGCTTCCACGGGCAGCGGCAGCGGCAACAGCAAAATATACAGGCGAGACGACGATCAGCATAGGCTCCTCCGTTGGTGGTTGCCCTTCAATAGGGGAGGCTCACTTGCCTTTCTTCCAAAACAGCAACGGAATCACACACGACTGGAAACTAACGCGCGACGGGTAAAAATCGGGGAAAAACTCGGGAAAACGCACTTTTCGGGAATAGCAAAGAAAAACAACTTTCACTTTCAATTGCTTCCTACGTTGTGTTTTTATTCAAAATTGAACATGACATTTCTAGCTGTCAATGCGAAAGAAGAGCGAAACATAGCGAAAAGCGCTATGCTACTGAAATATTTCATTGTGCCGTTTCTAAACTACAGTAGTTATTCAGTTTATTACCTATCATAATACCGGCCACCTTCGCAAATTATTTGCGAAACAAATTAGACTAAATCAAAAAATTAATTTACTAATTTCAAAAAAATGTTTTGTTGCTTACAAATTCATTGCAAATCTTATTCTTCTAAGGCACACTCCAAAGGGCAAATTTTGCAGACTGCCCTCTTCAGAATTCCAGTTGAGGTACGAAGGCTAACCACTCGGGTAACTCCGTCAGCTCCGGGATGAAGCTCAAGGATGCGGGCCAGTGGCCAGCGGGCAGGAGGAAGAGAATCATCTTTCACGATGACGACGTCACCGATGCTGAGCTGGTAACGCTTCGGGTTGGTCCGGTACTGTAGGTTCAACTCCTTCAAATATTCATTTCGCCAACGGTGCCAAAAAACTTGCGAGTGCTTCTGAAGCTTTTGGTACTGGCTAAGCCGGTTGAACGGAACATTTCGGATGTCTGCTTCAGGAAGAGGGCGGATCATATTTCTCACCAAGAAATGCGCTGGGGTGAGGGCGGCAAAATCATTCGGGTCGCTCGAAAGCGGCAACAGCGGACGAGAGTTCATGCACCCTTCGATTTTAATCAGCACCGTGGACATCTCTTCGAAGGACAGCAAAGAAGAGCCGAGTTGACGAACGAGGTGAGTTTTGGCAACCTTCACTGCCGCCTCCCAGAGGCCACCGAAGTTAGGAGCACGAGGAGGGATCAAGTGCCACTGGATGCTGTCTTCGGCAAGGCGTTTGACGATCTTGTTGTTTTCGGAACCGGGTTGGAGCATAGTGTACAGGGCGTGCAATTCATTTTTCGCCCCGATGAAGTTTGTGCCGTTGTCTGAATACAAGTGCTGGGGCTTATTCCTCCTCCAAACGAACCGATCAAGTGCCATCAGGAATGCGGCTGTACTCAGGTCACTCACGAGCTCCAGGTGGACCGCCTTTGTGCTCATACAAACGAAAATGCAAATGTAGGATTTGCGGGCAGCTGCTTTGCGATGTGTTGGCTTGAGGAAAATGGGACCACAATAATCAACGCCGGTGCAGGCGAAGGCTTCGTTGGCGGTAACACGGGCGATCGGAAGTTGACCAATCGGTTGCTGGATGGGTTGCGGATTTGCTCTGCTGCACTCGTAGCACTTTCGTATGACACTTCGAACTGCTTTCCGGCCATTCAGCGGCCAGAATTCATCACGGACGACGGACAGGGTCATCTCAATTCCACCATGGACAAACTTGCGGTGATGGTGCTTCAAAAGAAGATGTGTAAAGGGGTGGAAACCGGGGATGACAATCTGGTGTTTTACGTTATACGGTGCATCGGACAGCCGCAACCGGCCACCCACACGGATCAAGCCATCAGCGTCGATGAACGGGCTCAGCAGGCGAAGAGAAGATTTGTTCGTGACCATCTGTCCTTTCTTCAAACGCTGCAGGTCTTCGGGGAACGATCCAGCCTGAACTATCCGCACGAGAACTAATTTGGCGTTTTGCAATTCGGCAACGGAAAGAATCCTACTGGAATGTCGCTGCTTTTTGTTGCGAGCATTGTGGCAGAAACGAAGGCAATATCCAACTGTGCCAAGCAGGGTCTGGAACGATGAAAATGTTTCGAATAGCGGGTTTGATGTGAGCACTTGGGTAGTCAAGATCAAATTCTTCTTCAGCTCCAATTCTTCGTCGGTGAACTTGTTGTCCAGGCAGGCATGAACAGGCCACTTTGATTTTTCTTCACCCAGCCACCTGGGTCCATATTTCCATCGCTCACTGGTGATCAAGTCTTCGGCCGAGACTCCTCGCGAGATCATATCAGCAGGGTTTTCGTTCCCGGAAATATGCTGCCATTGCGATCCATGAGAGAGGGTTTGGATTTCGGCGACACGATTCGCCACAAACGTCTTCCACGTTCGTGGGGGGGCTTTCAGCCACTGGATAACTATCGTTGAATCAGACCAGAAGAAACATCCAGAGAACTTCATATCCAATGCGGCCTCGACTTTTTCAAATAAACGGGAGGCAAGCAGCGCGGCACAAAGCTCTAGGCGCGGGATGCTGAGTGGTTTCAATGGGGCAACCTTTGACTTTGAAGCAAGCAGGCTCACTTGTACACGCCCTTCAGAGGTTTCGGAACGGACGTATATGCATGCGCCGTAGCCTACTTCTGACGCGTCTGCAAAGCAGTGCAATTCAGCAATGCGATAGCCGGGAATGAACGCATACCTTTCGATACAAAAGTTGGAGAGGTTTGGAAGTTGTTCGCAGAATTGATTCCACTTACTTTGCAAGTCGGGTGATACTTCTTCGTCCCAATCCAATGCCGAAAGCCACAGTTGCTGCATGATAATTTTCGCCTGAACTACGACGGGTGCGATGATCCCAAGCGGATCGTATAACTGTGCGATAGCTGATAGAATGTTACGCTTTGTGGGCGTTTGGTTTTTCACGGCGATGGAAACATCAAAACGGAAAACATCTGCCTCGAGATCCCAGCGTATTCCAAGGGTCTTGATTATTTCTCCAGGATCGAATCTCAGCGACGAATGAGTCCCAAGAACATCAGGAGGGAGTCCAGATAAAACGGGAAGCGAATTGGAACACCATTTTCGGGGACGGAAACCACCTTTCTGCAATAGTTCAATTAGTTCTTCACGAAGCAGAATAGCCTCTTCGATGCTATCGGCTCCGGCGAGGATATCGTCCACATAGGTGTTCTTCTTGATGGCCGTGCTTGCTTTCGGGAACGGGATACCTTCATCTTCGACGAGCTTCAAGAGTGTTCGTGTAGCCAGGAACGAGGACGGAGCGAGGCCGTAAGTGACAGTGCATAGTTCATACTCCTGAATCAGTTGTGAACTGTTGAAGCGCCACAGAATTCTTTGCAGGAGACGATCGTGTACATGCATCAGTATTTGGCGGTACATTTTCTCGATGTCAGCCACCAAAGCGATCAAGAATTTCCGGAAACGGAGAACGAGACTCAATAGCTCGTCCTGCACGACGGGGCCGACGAGCAAGGAATCATTTAGCGAATGTCCAGAGCTCGTCTTAGCAGATCCATCAAAAACAACTCTCACCTTTGTGGTGGAGCTCGAATATTTAAGGACGGGATGGTGGGGGAGGTAGCAAGCCTTCGGATCGTCTTCCTTGTCCACAGGAACAGGAGCCATGTGGCCAAGGGATATGTATTCATTGATGAAGTCATGGTATTGGGTCTTCAGGTCATCGTCCTTTAACAGCCTTCGTTCCAACAGCTTGAATCTGCGCAGTGCAGCCGGCTTCAATGCTCCAATCATCTGCTCGTGGTCAGTGTGTCTTGGCATTCTCACGATGTATCGTCCAGTAGTGTTACGGGAAACGGTCCTTCGGTAATAATCCTCGCACGTCTGTTCTTCGATGGAGTAATTCGACCCATGGAGCTCTTCCACTCGCCAAAAACGTTCTAATTGTTCGCTTATGGAAGCGACGGTCACCGTATGGCATGTAACTGAAGGCTGCGATTGTGACCCACCGATGTCTTCAAATTTTCCGGCCACTACCCAACCAAATACTGTCTCAACAAGTAATGGACCATGGCCAGGCAGGCGGAAGCGCCCATCCCGCAGAAATGAATAAAAATGAGCTGCGCCAATGATCATATCCACCCTTCGAGAAGTGTGGAAGTCGGGATCAGCTAGTGGAAACTTTTCGGGAAGATTCCACTGAACAGTGGAGAACGAAACGGCTGGCGTATCACGGGTCACCTTCCGCAGGACAAGAAAATCCAGTGATTCACTGAAGTCAGCTACTCGCGAACGGATTTCGGCTCGAACTTCGTACTTCGCGTTCGTGACGATGCTGTCCACTCCAGCAATGGGCACATTGACAACCTTTCGGGGGAGATGAAGTTGCTGACACAACCGCTCGCTGATTGCGTTGGGCTGCGAACCTGTATCCAACAGGGCACGGGCGATGTGCTCTTGACCGTAGACGTCAGCAATGATCAGTACCACGGTCGTGAGGAGAACATTTGTGTTAGAGGATTTCACCGTTGATATGACCTCTGGAGCGGGTGTTGCTACTACAGCAGTTGAAACACTGGAAGTGCCAGGCGGAAAATTTTCGGAACTGATCGTGGCACTATCTTCGGAAGTAGACTTATTCATCTCGAACGGACCTGGGTGTATCATAGAGTGATGCCGCTTACCGCAGTGCTTGCAGCTGAATTTGGAGCGGCAGTTTCGGGCAAAATGATCGCTACGGAAGCAATTGCTGCAGAGCTTCTTGTCCGTGACCACCTTCAGGCGGCCTTTCGTATCTAGTCCGTTGAATACGGAACAGTCGAAAAGCGAGTGTTTCTGCTTGTCGCAGGCTGGGCAGATCGGGAAGATCTTTGACGGGATCTCAGCCGCCGCGATGGTGCTTAAGCGAGACTGATTTGGTTTCTTCGATGCGGGGAACTGGTTGCCAGGCTTGTGGGATGTTCGTCAACGGCGACTGATTCCTCCCATGCAGTGAGCGACGCATCATCCAGTTTATCCTCAAGCAATTCGATGAGAATAGAGCTAAACTGATCCACTGGTTCACCAAGCTGTTCCAGAACCTTAGTGTGGCGTTGGAACTCATCCACGATCTTGTGAAGGGCATCAACGTTGTTGCTCGGAATCTTGGGATGCTTGAGTAGGGCCCGAATATGTTTCTTACGGAGGATGGCCTTGTTGGAGTATCGGTTGACCAACGTCTGCCATGCTACGGCGTAGTTGTTGGCCGTTATTGTTACCGACTGTATCAAATTGGCTGCTTCACCCTTCAAAGCAGCCCGGAGGTAGTGAAATTTCTGTACCTGGGAAATTTCTGTCGACGAGTGAATCATCGACAAGAAAGTATCGTGGAAAGTCAACCAGGTATTAAAATCACCATCGAACTCGGGGAGCGATATGGTTGGTAACTTCACGTTGGCGAGAGTAGGCGTAACGGGTGGTGCAGTGGAAGGTCCAGAAACAACAGGAACGGGAGAAGGTGGCAACTTCGTAGCAAGCCCAGCTTTCACACGGAAATACAGCTGCTCCACTTGGGCACGCAACTCCAGGTTCTTCTTTACGAATTCTTCCTCGTCATCCATTTCTTCGTACTCGTCCTGTATGGTCTCGAACACTTCCCATATTTTCTCCACACGTTCCAAGCGAAGTGCAACTTCGTGCTGATGTTGTTCAGGAATGTAGTTGGCGAGGAACAAGTCCATGCGCTTGAAGCCATCGATGGCGTTCCGTCGTTTGGCTTCCTTTATTTTCATGCGCTTTTCGTCGGGCATGTCGAGCTGTTCCTCAATATCGTCGACACTATGCAGACAGTTTGACTGAAATGGTCGAAAAGAGACCAAAGAAGCACCACAAAACTGGAGGTAAGAAGGTTGGAGAGGTACTCACCTTGTACCTCTTGAAAAGAGGCCTTGTATATTTATATTCTGGAACCAGCAGTAACTTCCAGAGGGGTATGCAGCGGCTCAATCGATCCAAATGAGGTTATGTCGTTGATCTCACGTGGTTGGGAACGGGAAAACCAGGAATCCTGGTCACGGCACCAAAATGTTGGGGTATGGGTGACTCACCGGCGCTGGCTATACGGGAAGGGCTTCAACGGGACGGGTCAGCTTTCCTTTTTCAGTTCCTTTTTCAGGTGATGTAAAAGCGATTAGCTTCCACGGGCAGCGGCAGCGGCAACAGCAAAATATACAGGCGAGACGACGATCAGCATAGGCTCCTCCGTTGGTGGTTGCCCTTCAATAGGGGAGGCTCACTTGCCTTTCTTCCAAAACAGCAACGGAATCACACACGACTGGAAACTAACGCGCGACGGGTAAAAATCGGGGAAAAACTCGGGAAAACGCACTTTTCGGGAATAGCAAAGAAAAACAACTTTCACTTTCAATTGCTTCCTACGTTGTGTTTTTATTCAAAATTGAACATGACATTTCTAGCTGTCAATGCGAAAGAAGAGCGAAACATAGCGAAAAGCGCTATGCTACTGAAATATTTCATTGTGCCGTTTCTAAACTACAGTAGTTATTCAGTTTATTACCTATCATAGTGTTTGTCACTCCATAGTAACTCTTGCACGGAGACGACTTCACCGTAAAACGACATGTGCTTTCGGATCTGCTCATCCGTTGTATTTTCGGATAGGTCATGTAGTCTCACTTCCACAAAACCATCCGCCATACGAATTCGCAGCTTGTATTTTACTCCCTTGACTTCATAGTCAAACTTGTTGTCGTATTGGTCAACTATTCGTTGAGCAATAGCTTGGTCCGTTACTTTGACAAAGGCGCAGTTGTCTGTGTGGCTCATCTGTATTTTCACCAGTTAAGTACGTGTGATGCCGAGATGTACTCCAACAAATGTGTTTTGTTGGTTTTTTTTGTAGGTTCGCAAATTCCACGCGAAACGTGTTTTCACGGATCTTGCGGCTGTTCATCTCAAAACGGTTGTCTGAGATGGGGTGGCGTACGAAAAACAAATCTCCGGTCTCGAACCGGTTCGCTCCGGAACGCGACACGTCGTGAAAACCTTAGTAGCCCGGTACTTTTCACAACCGAATCACGAACGAACGAGACCATTCGGCAGTCGAAGCCTCACTACGCAAAGCGATCCTACAATCTTATTCTAAGCGACAAGTAGGGAACACTCAACATTCCCGAACGGTACAAATTCCTCTGTTTTTAACAACGGTCAGCGAGGAACAAATTCTACATTCGTACAAACATCACCCCTGCTTCAATCTCTTCATTTATACCTGCTTCCCTAGCTGATAACAATGTTCAGTGAGAAAATGAAGCTATTGCAGCGGGTCAAAAATCAAAATTGTAGCCAACACAATTCTAATGGAAATTTTGATAATTGTGACTATGGAAGCATTAAAGTCTGGAACGTGCAAAAATTGGTCAACTTCAAATTGGTGTATTTCTGTTAACAATGCATAAAAAATCTGAAATGCTGCATTTGGAAGTTGAGTGAATAAACAATGGTTGCTATGATGAGTTTTCACCGTTTGCTCTCCAGTTTTCAAAATGACGTCCAAGCAAGAGGAGCAACTTGTCAAAATTTCTCACACGCCAAGTTAGCTAAATTGCTGGATGTGGCCAAATCGACCGTGACAAACGTTTTAAAAGTGTTCGGGGAGCGTCTGTCGACCGCCAAGAAGCCTGGAAGTGGCGGCAATCGTAATCCGGACGTGGTTGCGACGACGAAGAAAGTGGCGGTGAAATATAAGCGGAATCCCAACCTCTCCATCCGGGACGTCGCTGGCAAGCTCAATGTCTCCCATACTACTGTGCAGCGGGCCAGGAAACGAGCCGGGTTGTCGACGTTTAAGAAGGTGAAGGTGGCGAACCGAGATTACAAACAAAACACATCGGCAAAGCAGTGGTCCCGAAAACTGTATACGCACACACTCATTACTACGGGAACTATCAATCAAGAGATCTACGTCCAGGAGTGCCTGGAAAAGCGGGTGCTACCATTCCTAAAGCAACATAATAGACATGTGCTGCTCTGACCGGACTTGGCGAGCTGTCACTATTGACCATAAGGTTAAAAGGGAAGCAAATTATTTCATTTATAGAAATGATCGCCTTGATGGAGCCTGTGGTGGCGTTGCCATCATTGTTCATAGACGAATCAACCATCAAATTCTTGAAACTTTGGGTGTTTCTGTTAAAACAAAATTTGGACAACTTACGTTTATAGCTGCCTATTTGCCATTCCAATGCGTAGGCCTGCAAAAGAATTTTCTCAAGGGTGACCTTCAGAAAATTACCCGTCACAGGTCAAAATTCTTCATTATTGGTGATTTTAATGCAAAACACCGCTCATGGAATAATGCTCAAAGCAATTCCAATTGTAATATTCTGTTTGATGATTGTTCTGCAGGTTAATACACTATTCAATGTCCAAACAGCCCGACATGCTCTTCTCCATCAAGAAATCTCTCTACAATCGATTTGGTCTTAACTGATTCATGTCAACTTTGTAGCCAATTGGTTACCCATGCTGACTGCCACGCTGAATACGCCCAAGACTGGACGGGCGGTAGCTGGTGGCCGCGAACGGTTCCTGGGGAAAGCACTGGACGCGAACCTCCTCCTAGATGACCATGGCAATGCAGGAAGTATTACAACAAAGGTAATTGCTATTAGATATGTTTGCAAACAGAGACAGATTGCAGACATGAAGCCCAAGTGGAGGTGCCGGCAGGCTTAATGGAGCCTCACTCGCGAGTTTGAAATGAGCCGAGCGTAGCATATTTCTGAGGAGTAGAATGTCTACTGCTAAATCATTCCACTGTGAGCAAAGGGGGATAAAATGAGAGTGATGTTTGCTGCCATTCATGTTCTTTTTTTTTCTATCACACGCTCTTACTCTCACTCTGGGTGAACTCTGAGCTTCTTGCGTCGAACAAAAAAGTCATCCGGAGGCTTGAAAAGCGCACCTCACGTCAAATCATCGCTCGAGGAGTTTTAATTAACTTGAGGTGAGGGCGGGCTATACTCGCAGGACAAGAATGTTTTAAAACCTCCAGTGAGTTTGAGGAGCTTCAGCAAGCCTGGGTGCCGGGCTAAAGTGTTATACCCTAGTCAAATGGTAAGTCACAAATTCCCTGTTTTCGTTGTCGTAGTCGCTGTCGTATTTGCCGTCGTAGTCGCTGTAGGCGGTACCGTTAGTATATTTTAAATTAATAATCAACCGCTGAAACTATATTCATTACCGCGTATTTCTGTTGTTCATGACATACTAAGTGAAATTCGAGAACGTAATTTCATTTGAATCGCTTGTTTAACCAGTCACGTCACGTCGGTTATAGCTTGTTATAATTGCATGAACCATGCGTAAAGAGCAAATCGAAACATTGAACGTCACGTAAAAGTGGAACGTAATGAAGGCCTAAGTACTATTTCGTAGCTTTTAGTTTTAGGATTTGAAAGATCGTCGGTTGCAGTGGCTTGCTTTCTGAGCAGAAAAACGTGATCCCAGGTTCTTTCATATTTAAAATGTATGGTACGATCGCTTTTTATCGTGTATTTTGTAAAATTTTTCGTTGCCCTCGGTGCTAGCTTTGAATAGTTATAACAACTTGAGTAACGGTATAATGTGATATGAGGGGCTCGGTGGCCTTAGAGCAACCGTTTTTGCTTACTGAGCAGAACATTATTAGTCTAATCTCAAGCCCATCCACATTCAAGATTCGTTAATCGTTATATTTGTTAACACGACTACATGGTAATAACAGCAACTCGATGATTAAAAAGGAGCTCGTCTGTCTAGTGGCAAACGGTTTTGCTTACTGAGCAGAAGACCGTGGGTTCAATCCCAAGCTCCTTCGCGTTATATGATCGTTAGGACATCAATTAAGCTTATCGTTTACCAAAACGAACCCTGCTGCAAACCCAACCCTATTACCCAATATCCCTGTGACTTCTTGTGGAAGGGCAGAGGTGTTCTCGGCTTCCATCAAAGCGAGTGTCACGTCAACACATTTCTACCCATTACTATCTTGACCTGTGTTCGGGCGCGGTCGGCGCTGGTACTTACCTTACCAATCAGGCTAAGGCCTTGTTGTCCTCTGCTGTCCGAAGAAGTCGTCTCCACTCTACTCAATCCATGGCCACAGTTCGCCAGCCTCGTAGTCTGCGAAGGGTCCGCAGGTCACCTTCTACTTGGTCGATCCACCTTGCCCGCTGCGCGCCTCTTCTTCTTGTTCCTGTTGGGTCGCTTTCTAGAACCATTTTCACTGGGTCGTCGTGCGGCATTCTTACGACGTGCCCAGCCCACCGTAGTCGCCCAATTTTTGCAATGTGGACGATGGATGGTTCTCCCAGCAGCTGGTGCAATTCGTGGTTCATTCGCCTCCTCCACGTTCCGTCATCCATCTGCACTCCACCGTAGATGGTACGCAACACCTTCGGTTCGAAAACACCAAGGGCGCGTTGGTCCTCCACGAGCATAGTCCAGGTCTCGTGGCCGTAAAGGACCACCGGTCTAATCAGCGTCTTGTAGACAGTCAACTTCGTGCGGAGGCGAATTTTATTCGACCGGAGCGTCCTCCGGAGTCCAAAGTAGGCACGATTCCCTGCCATAATGCGTCTTTGAATTTCTCTGCTGGTATCATTTTCGGCGGTCACCAGTGAGCCCAAATACACGAACTCATCGACCACCTCGATTTCGTCACCGTCAATCTGAACTCGGGGTGGGAGGCTAACATTGTCCTCCCTAGAACCTCTTCCTTTCATATATTTTGTCTTTGATGCGTTGATGG